ATTTTCTCATGGGCAATTTCTCTTCATTTTTCAACACTGATAGCAGAATATCTACAGAAACCATTTCATCCTGTATCTCTGTCTGTGTTATCTATCTCACTGCCTCTTTCTCTCTCTACCTCAAATAATTTCTGTCTCTCTGTCATAAACACACACAAATATTTGCATGCATATGCATATATACCTGTCTTCAGGAGGAACTCTGCATTTGGTATTTCTTTTCAAACTTCAGAGGCAAAATAAAATTGCCAAAGGCGAATAAAAATCGGATATGAAAAGCAGTTAGTCATTTGTGTCATTCAAATGGACAAATGAAGGAAGGTGGATCCCTCTTGAATTCTTCCAGCTCTGATAGCCTATTGTTTCTGGTATAAAATAGAAGATAAATGTGCAGTACAACATCTTCACTTGAAACCCATAGATCTCTGGCCTAATTTCATTTAAGGACATTGAATTAGTGATATTTATCTCTTGATACAGGATTAAAATAGTACAAAATCAAGAACTATCCTCTCTTCACTGTAAATTCAGCCCTTTTCATGGCAAAGCTTGATTTTTTGTGTTTTAGGTTCTGGAGTAACAGCATTAACAAATTAACAAATCCTCCACTTTGGTGGAACATATAGTAAAGGAAGCAGATATTCAACAAACAGACAAATATATATATATATATATTATATATAACATAATATCAAGTAGAAGCAAACACTGAGAAGAAAAATGATGGTAAGTAAAAGTACAATGAGGAATGATATAAGGTGGCTATTCAGGAAAGGCTTTTCAGAGAAGGAGACGTTAAACAATAGACAAACTATTCAAGTATCTGGGAAGATTATGGATTATTTTGGTTCCCATTTTTTGCGCACTAACTCACTCATTAAAACGTTTGTTTAGGGAAGCACAGATAATGTTCAAATGTGTTCCTAGCATCCATATCTAGCCATTCTTTCTTATTCTTTCTATGTTCTTTGTGAAAAATAAGATATGTCTGGAAATTACTCTTCAAGAATTACACTCTATGGACAGCCCCATAAAACCAAATGGGAGTGATGGGGCATAGCAGTCCAGGGACAAGGACTAGAAGGCAGAAGGGGACAGGAAAGCTGGTGTTAGGGAACCTAAGGTTGAATAAGGATAGTGTTGATGTGTTGTGAGGTTGTTAACCATTGTCATAGGGCAACATGTGTACTGTTTAATGAGAAACTATTTTGTTCTCGAAACCTTCATCTAAAGTGAGAATAGCAGCACAATTGTAAGAGCATAATCGATGTCACTGAACTGTGCATGTAGAAATTTTTGAAATGGTGTAACTTTGGCTAAGTATATTTTCACCAAAAAAAAAAAAAAAAGGTCGAGAAGGGAGAGGGTTGACATGTCATGGGGTTGTTAACCAATTGTCATAAAACAATATGTGTACTACTGTTTCATAAGAAACTATTTGTTCTGCAAACCTTCACCTGAAGTACAATAAAAAAATTAAAAAAAAAAAAGAATTACACTCTAAGGTCATTGTTTATTTACATACATCAGAACAGCTCTGCATAAAATAATTTTTTAGTGATGCAATAAAGTTTTATTAATACATGAATAGAAAATGCAAGTGCAATTAGTGAAAATAATATTTCTTTTTCCACACTGGGGGAATATTGATCACCATGTATAAGAATAAGATACATTTTTTAGTGTATGGATGTAGAAAATAACCTACCTGCAAAAGCTGACTTACTGTATTTTGTCAGAAAAAAGTGGGAAGATTTATAATGCATTTCTTCCATATAGTCCCTAAAGTATTTTTTTAAAAATAATTCAAAATAACCAATTAAAATATCCTTTTTTCCTTAAGGGAATAATCATAATTTGATGGTTTGAAGAGCTAGAGTCTCCTTTGAGGCCAAAATCTCTACCTAACATTTGTGTACCTTGTTTGGTACCTGAATATATGAAATTCTTAATGCAAATAAATTAGCCACCACTTTCAGTAAAATGGAAGGAGGAGAATATGAGTAGAGAAGTTTTGTATTTTTAGTATAGTATAGACAAGGGAATTCCCACCAGAAGACTTCAGTTTTTTGTTTTATTTCCTATGAACACTGAGGTGAGCTCATCTAATGAGACTGAGTGGTAAAGAAGTAGGGTTGGTGAGAGATTGGAGGAGATAAGAGACTGAAAATAGTGTGGGGAACAGAAAGACCTTTTTGAGGATGAACATTATAGATTTATACTAGAACCAGTTTGCCTTATTGAGTTAACTTCACCAATATGCTAGGGCAAAGGCAAATCTGAGACCCAGGATTATTCATAAAGTTGATGGTTTATAAAATTGATGATTTCGGAGGAAAACTGAAAGCAAAATTTAAAAAACTTTGAATATTGTTTGGTACTACGTGTGTTAGAGAATAAAAGAAGTTGGAAATGCTTTCACTGGTCTGCCTCTTCCATTACACTGATCTTCCAGGTCAATAAAATTAAATGAGATAAAGTGTAATCTGATCAAACACTTATGTGCCACTACCACATACATTCTAAGCAGCTTCCGTATTCTAATATCTTTTAAAAGATATTAGAGTAAGTAGGTAGTCAGAAGCCTTAATAAGTAAAAAAGTAGATAATCTAACAACGCTAGTTGGTGGACTCATGACGATTTCATTATGTGGAAGGTAATCTAATGCCAGTTGTTTCAATATAATATTTACTAGCATTGCAATCAAGTGTGCTGATAATACTGGAAATACTTATATTTTTCTATCAGCAGAATTCTATACACATAATAGTTAGTATTATAAATATGTTTGGAAAAGGGAACTCATGAATTATACCATATGTGATAGCATCTAATCTATCTATTAATAAAGTTAATACTAGTGATAACAGTTTTGTTAAGTTCGCAACAGTGTAAAGAATTGTTGCCTATCTATGAGTTTGTAAACAGAAAGAGAAGTGAGCAGACAAGGAATTGAATTTTCTCAAGGAAATGTACAATGAATTGTAGTAGCTATTGAAGAGTAAGATCTCTTCTTGTAATGCCTGACCACATCGTCAACACACACACACAAACACACACACAAGACTGCACACACAGATGCATGCACACACACACACACACACACACACACAGTGGACCCTCGAGCCATGTTAGGCAATAGCAGTCTTTTCTAAAAAGAAGCAGTTTTGCCTACAAAGCAATGGTTCTGGTGAGAGAGAGAGAGATCTAGTCGCACTCAGTCTTACTGTCAGACCAATGTTGGTTTGAATTAAATTTTGTCCTTCAGATGAAAAAGTCCTTGAATATGTTGAAATCACAATTACTTTATTTACAATGGAAGATGTTTGATAATAAAATATCTCGTTTGTTAACATCTTTAGTTTCAAAAAAGAGATGACAGTTTCTTTGAAAAGAAAGCAAGATCTGACAGATCATACAATCATATATAAGAGAACTTCTTTCATTTCTAAGATTAACTTTTTGAAATTGTCTTTGTTGAACACTTTCAGCTCCAGCTACTAGAACCAGCATTTTCTCTTTCATCATACTTTGCCTTTGATTGGTATTATTCTTTCTTGATTTAAAACATTTATTTATCAACTACTATGAAGTCATAAGGATATAAAGGTAGATATAAAGTTCTTTCCAAGGAGCTCTCAGTCTATGCAGGGAAACATTACACTGTATTGTATCAATTTGTTTCTGTGACTAAAAGTTTGTCTGGAGTTGTAATATCTACCAAATCACAGCAGTGAGAGGGTATAACTGTCTGTTTTAGGAAGGGTGAGGGAGGGTCAGCGGAATCTTAGAGGAGATAACATGTGTACTGTGTTTTGAAGGTTGAGGGCTTCTCCAGAAAAAGAATGATGAGGTGGACCAAAATCACTGGATAAGCAATAAAGAAAGGCAAGAAAATTATGTTTTTAATAAGCAATGTCAGAAAAACAGAATGAGGGAAGATAATATTATAAGATTTAGGCTCATCCAAAACCATAAGCTATAACTGAAAGCAAAATTATTCCTTAAAGCATTAATGTGGCTACTTTTCTATTTGGAATACAATCAGTTTTCAATGAGGAAAGGTATAGACAAGGATCACAATTAGTGTATTTTATCCAATACCAATCAGGTCAAAACACTTTATGTTCACATGTCTGTGGTCACCAACTGTAAAGAAAATCAAGTCCTTTGGGGGAGATAGTTCAGCCATGAAAATGCCAGTCCAATCAATTCAAAGCCCAATCAAATTGCAGATAGCAGTAAAATAGATATGTGCAGTTATTTATTAAGACATTGGGAAATGATATTCATCCTTCTCTAGCTCTTCAAGCTTACACAGTTTAACATTCAAATGTCCGACAACTTGAGACTTTATCCCCAGAAATTATGAAAAATAATTTTTCTAAACCCCAGAACCTTCTATTCTATGATCCTTGATTTTCTTCCTCTGTTATCCTGTTAGATTTATCAGTAGTTTGTTCACATTATTGCTTAAACAGTCTAGATTACCTGCCCAGGTTAGAAGCACTTAACTTCAGCACCCCATCAGGAATTAGTTCAGAAATTTGCCTCTGGTTCACTAGGGATGAAAGGCAACCTTGAAACCCTGTCACAGTCCCCTTGGTATATTCTCACTCAGCTTGCTCTTTATCACCTTTCCTCTACCAGGTCCACCACCATCCAATCAGTATGCCATCAGACAGGGAAGAAGATTGGAATCAGTCCTCTGTCTACTCAGTCTCTCTCTCTCTCCTGTCTATTTCTATATTGGGCTTTGTACCTATGAACAGGGTAATGAAATATGACATTTAGTTATTTTCTGGAGTTTAGATTCTGTGGAATGAGTGGAATTTATACAGAGTGACCATATTCCCTAGTATATCTGGAAAATTTGGTCCAACTCCTTTACCAGAAGAAAGTCTCATGACAGAATAAAAGTTGGAGCCAGGGTGAATGGAGGTGGGTTTGGTTATCTCTAAGCTCCATCCTAGTCCTCAAATCCCACACTTGTATGATTTTAACAACACCAGTAAAAGGAGTTGGTTTTAAAAATTTTACCTAAGGAAGCTTTGACCTCTTTGTTTCTCAGACTATAGATGAGAGGATTCAACATGGGGATGACCACTGTATACATCACAGACACCGCTTTGTCTTGGTGCATTGAGTAGCTGGAGCCGGCGTGCAGATACGTGAATAGAATTGTCCCGAAGAAGATGGTGACTGCCATCAAATGGGAAGCAAAGGTGGAGAAGGTTTTGTGCCTTCCCTTGGCAGACTGGATCCTCAAGATGGCAGCCAGGATGTAGAGATAAGAAACAAGAATAGTCAGGATGCAGCTCAGTTCATTAAAACTGGCAGTAGCAAAAATAATAACCTCGTTGATGTGTGTGTCAGAACAAGAGAGTTTAAGGAGTGGCAAAAGGTCACAGAAAAAGTGGTTGATGACATTTGAGCCACAGAAAGACAGCTGGAAGGTGAAGCCAGTGTGAATGGCAGCATTTATGAAGGCTGCAAGATATGTAAATAACACCAAGAGGATGTTGAGATGAGGGGACATGGTGACTGTGTAAAGGAGAGGCTTGCAGATGGCCACGTAACGGTCATAGGCCATCACGGCCAACAGGAAGCTCTCAATGCCAGTAAAAGAACCATAGAAGAAGAATTGAGTGGCACATCCATTAAATGAAATGACTGGGTTCTCCACCCAGAAGTTCACCAGCATGTTGGGGGCAGTGACAGAAGAGTAGCAGAAATCAACAATAGACAAGTTACTGAGAAAGAAGTACATGGGAGTGTGGAAACGCGAGTCAATCTTGATTAACAGGATCATGCCGAGATTTCCAACCACAGTGGTCATATAGATAAGTAGGAATGCCACAAAAAGAAGATACTGTAGCTCTGGATGATCCCTGAATCCCAGGAGGACAAATTCAGTTATGCTTGTATGGTTGGTCATACTTTTTTTCTCAGATTGGAGGGTTCCTTTGCTGGGACACGAAAGAAACCAAGAGAATAAATTGTGCAAATATACCAAGAAAATCAAATGTTCATTCTCTGCCTTAAACAAGGATACTTTTAAGATCATGTCTATGATGTTCTTCTGAGGACTTGAGTATTAAACGTATTTGTTTTCTTATTAAAGGGGAAAAGATTCCTTAAGTACACTCAGTAAACTACTGTATTTAAATATAATTATGTGCATGAACAAGTGTGCGGGGGTGTGGGTTCCCACACCTGTGGTCCTGCTACCTTTCCCTCCTCATATTAGCCCGAATGATATAATATGATTTCAAAAATAACCCTTCCACCCTGCTGTTTAAAACTCCTCGTTGGCAATTAAAAAAAAAAGTCACCCCCCCTTAAAAAGGATTTTGATAATCTGACACTTATTTGTTCATATCTTACTCTACCTCCCAAATTTTCTCTCCTTTTCTCCTCCTCTCCCCTACTCTACCTTCACACCACACTCTGCTTCTCATCCTCTTTTCTTTGCTCCTTTTCTCTGCTCCTTTTCTCTTTGTTCTTTCTCTCTTTTCCCTTTCCTTCCCTTTGCCTGTCCCTCATTCTTGTTCCCTTCCCTTCCCTTCCCTTCTTTTCTCTCGCTTCTGTTCTCCTCCCAAAACTCCTCCCCTCTTTGCTTCTTTCTCTCCCTTCTCCTTCTTCTTCTCTCCTTCCTCCTCCTTCTCTTTTTTTTTCTCCTTCTTCTCTCTGTCTCCATGCCCCAACAATCCAACTATTCTGAACCACATTATAATCATGCGACTAGATCATTCCCATTGACATACAAGCACGCTGTTATTTTTCCCATTTTACAAATGTATATATATATATATGTATCTCCGTTGTCACTGAGTCGATTGTGACTCATAGCAACCCTAAAGGACAGAATAGAACTACCTCATAGCGTTTCCAAAGACCAGCTGGTGGATTCGAACTGCTGACCTTTTTTGGTCAGCAGCCGTAGCTTGCTGTAGCTCTTAACCACTGCACCACCAGGGCTTTATATATGTATGTATATATATATATATATATATATATATATATATATATATATTCTTGATTCTACTACCTTCAGTACCTATTATACTATCCTATTGTATCATTCCTTTGCACTCTCCTTGGCAATAAAATGTATCAAAACAGTTGAATATACTTTCTGTATCCAAGCCTGCTTTTCCTGTTTACTCTTAAGCCCACTTCAGCCAGGCTACCACTACCATCACTGCAGGGAGAAATTGCCTGTTATGGATTGAATTGTGTCTCCCAAAAATGTGTGTCAACTTGGACAGGCCCTGATTCCCACTTTGTGTTTGTCTACCATTTTGTCTTCTGATATGATTTTCCTATGCATTGTAAATCCTACCCCTATGATGTTAATGGGGCAAGGTTAGAGGCAGTTATGTTAATGAGGCAGGACTCAATCTACAAGGTTATGTTGTATCTTGAGTCAATCTCTTTTGAGATATAAAAGAAGCAAGCAGAGAGACAGGGGACCTCATGCCACCAAGATTGAAGAACCATGAGGGGAGCGTGTCCTTTGGTCCTGGGGTCCCTGCGCTAAGAAGCTCCTAGAAGGAAGGAAGACTGATGACAAGGACCTTCCCCTAGAGCAGAGACAGAAAGCCTCCCTCTGGAGCTGGCACCCTGAATTCGTACTTCTAGCCTCCTACACTGTGAGAGAATAAATTTCTCTTTGTTAAAGCCATCTGCTTGTGGTATTTCTGTTACAGCAGCACTAGATAACCAAGACACTACCCTTGTGAAAGTATCCCTGATTTTTATGTTACTAAATCCAGTGGTCAATTCTCAGTCTTCATCTTTCTTCACTTGTCAGTTGATTTCTACTCCTCATGGAAAGGCTTTCCTCTTTTAGCTTTCAGGACACTGGACTCTGAGTTTTTCTCCTACTACATGGGTTGAACCTTCTTAGCTTTTTTCATTTGTTGGTCCTTTTCTCCTTGAGTCTTAATGTTGGAGTATCTCAGAGTTCAGTCCTGGACCTTCTTGTCTTTACTATTTACAGGTATACCTGAGTGATCTTACTCAGTCTCACAGTTTTAAACACTATCTATATACTTATAACTCCTGAATTTATATCTCCCATCCTAACCTCTTTCCAAACTTTATACTTATAGTTCAACTGCCTACTCACATATCCATGTGAATATCAAATAGCATCTCAACATGACCAAAACTGAATTCCTCATGCACCCCTCCAAATTTGCTGCACCCATAGCATCCTGCAGCTCAAGTCAATAACTCTATACTTCCATTTGCTCACATGGAATTAATTAAACAAACAAACAAATATTGGAGAAACTGTTATCTCTTCTCTTTCTCATACACTCTGTATCCAGTATGTCAGAAAATTCTGTTGGATTTACCTTCAAAATATCTATATCCATAAGCAAACTACCTTACCCACTCATAATACTGAGGCCCAAGCCAACATCATCTTTCACCTAGATTATTATTGCAATAGTCTTTAACAGATCTGCCTGTTTCTAAAATAAGCTAAAATCTCATCCTGTAAAACAATCTTTTTTAAAAAATCTGTAATAAGCATATAATATTTGGAAAAATATTCTATATGATATGTATGATTATATATGTGTGTGTAAGTGCAAGCACTCATGAGCGTGTGTTTGTTTAAGAGGGAGACAGCTTGTTTTGCTTTTCTAACTCTGCTTTCCACCATAGGCACAAAATTTAAACTCAAATTCAGAGAAATATATACGGAGTACACTACATGTCAGGCATTGCAAGAGAGCATTGTATACATCACCCCTCATGGGCAATTCACAGCAAAACTGAATGGAGATAGAATTCTCCTTGTAGAAATGAAAATTTGACCTCGAGATATTAAATAACTTATGTAATGTCACAGAGCTAGCACAACTAAACTACAAAACGAAGGCTGAAAAGGGTCAATTGATTAATTTATGCATGTAATAACATGTGATTCGTTTATTTAATGTCCTTCAATGAGTCTTAAATTTGCCAGGTATTTTGGGACTCTCTGTACAAAAAATTAATTAAATTTCTCTGTTTTGCATGCGCATGCACACACACACACGTATGTATAAATACATCCGTGTATGTGTGTGTGTACATATGTTCAATATTCTGTTCTTCATCTGTTTCTAGTGATTCTATGTCCCTCTTCTCTAAAAAAAAATTATGCGTTCATGGTTTAATTGATATCTTAGTTACCTAGTGCGGCCATAACACAATATACCACAAGTCGATGGCTTTGAAAAAGAGGAATTTATTTTCTCACAGTGCAAGGGGCAGGAAGGCCAAATTCAGAGTGTGGCTCTAGGGAGACATGCTTCTTAGTCTATTTCAGCTTCTAGTAGCTGCCAGTAATCCTTGGCACTCCTGGGCTAGTAAGTGGATCTGTTTCTGTTGTCTGTCTTCCTCTTGCCACTGTGTGTGTGTCTGTGTCTATTCTGCTCTTTTTATAACTCAGAAGTGATTAGATTTAGGACCTACCCTACTCTGGCATGACTGCATTAACATAAAAAAAGAAAATTCCTATTTCCAAACAGGGTCATAGTTACAGGTACAGGGGTTGAGGTTTCAACATATTTTGAGGAGACACAATTGAATCCATATCAGTTGGTAATATTAATTACAGAAAAATTCAACTTGGGATATTTAGTCTTTCATTATTGAATGTTTTTTGAGTCCTCTTGAAAATTTGATACATCTAAACACTTTAAATAAATCATCTTACCTTTTGTCATTAGATATTCATTAGAGGTAGTGGTGTTTGTCAGTTTAGTTTTACTTCATTTACTGGTTTCTGGAGGAGTATAAGTTTTCTGTATTTCACCAGTGGAATTCACAGCTTTCATGATCATGGAAGTGGCTTAAAAGAATCAGCAATGGCAGAATAAATACACAGCTAATTAATTCAACAAAGAACAGAAAGTACTGCTTTTGAATCCAAGGCATAGAGTCAGACTTGTTAAGGCTGGGATCTTTCTCTTGAGATTCAGTCTCTGCAAAACACTAAAATGTCTAACATCTGAAATATGCTGAGAGTCCACAGTTAAAGCATGTCTTTATTTTCTACTAAGATAATTGAACTACATTGTCCCCAGTGAGCCACATATACCCTGGAGAGTAACATAGACATTTAGTAAAGTACAACAAATATGTTACTGTCCTGAGACTGTTGATCACAGCATGAAATTAAATGCTACAAGATTATCCAGCTTCTGCCTCCAAACTTCAGAATTCCACTTCAAATAGGATCCCTACTTATTTCTGTAGGAAGATGGCTCTCCACTTATTCATTTATTCATTCATTCAACAAATATTTAGTGAATTTGTTTTATGAGGCAGACATGGTCCTAAACGCTGGGTAGAGTAACCAACAAAAATCAGTCTTGCTCATTCCTTCCTGAAGCTTGCAGTCTGCAATTGGGGAAAAGCAGCTATTACAGAGTGACATGAAGAAGTAAAACTGAGAGACTTAGTATGAGCTACAAAGTCTTATATGATCTGTCACTCCTTCCCAAAGCTCTTGCTAATTGTGGCTCTTTCTCTCCTCTTGCTTGCTTCCTCTGGTTCACATATATTAGTTTCTTGAGTGTTCCTCTAACAAACGAACAATGATCTGTTTCACAACTTTTTTATTCGCAGTGACTATGCCTGAAGTACACGACTCGTCTGTCAGTTTGTACTACTGTGGTGGATTCGTGTTGCTGTGATGCTGGAAGCTATGCCACACCAATCCATTCAACTATATCTGTGAAAAGAGATGACGAAGAAGCTCAATATCATCAGTCAGAACAAGGCCAGGGGCCGACTACCGAGCAGACCATCAATTATACTTAAGCACGTTGAAGCTAAAGCTGAAGAAAAGAAAAACAAGTCTTTGAAAGGCAAAGTATGACCTTGAGTATATCCCATCTTAATTTAGAATAGATTTGACTCACTGAACAC